ACAAATAGATTGCAGCAGGTAACTGTTGATCTAATGAAATTGACATTCAGTAGGGCGTGCCCCAAGGAAGCATATTAGGTCCGCTGTATTTACTTTTACAACTATCTAACACACTGTAAATATCATCTGTACGCAGACGACACCAACATTTATTATTCTATTAGAACATCCAGTATTTGCGAGGCCGTTAACAATATTAATACTGATCTATCCACAATTGTGTCACTGTCGAAGAAGTACTATCTTAAAATTAATCCAAAAAAATCGAATGTCGTCCTATTTTGCAACGATCTTCAAAAGTCAACTGTCTTGCCTACTATAAAAATTGAACTTAATAATCAAACATTTGAAGTGCAAGAATACTTTAAGAACTTGGGTTTAATCATAGACTCCAAACTTCGCTTTAATAAACATATTACCGATAAAATGAAAAAGGTTTATTATTCTTTAAAATTAATATATCCTCACAGATCGGAATTGTATATTGGAACTTAAAAACAATACTAACAAAGTCTTTTTAGTTCCGTCCCACTTTATAACCACTATGTGACTCGGTCTATGGCCCCTTTCTGTGCAAAGTTGATATAAATCGGGTACAAAAAGTACAAAATAGTTGCCTTGATTAATATTTGGTATTAGACGTAGAAACAGAATATCCACAAGCTCAAACAAGTAACTCATTGGTTAAGTATGTTTAATAGACGGAAACTTCCTCTTAACAAAATTAAATTTTGAACTGATGTACAAAATTTGAATTTAAGAAGGCTCCATTATATTACTACACCATCCCATAACAAAGAATTGTTTAAAATCGATGCATCCTGGTACTGCATAATACTGATCTTCATAGGGACCTTAAAGTGAAGACTGTTGAAAATACAATACAAAAATTTGCCAGTAGTCGCCAACAACGACTGCTCCAACATGGAAACCTTGAGATTATTTAGCTCAACAATGCCAATCTAATAAGAATAAGATTTGAGAGAACCAAGCCTTTTGAGTTAGTTCTGTGATGATAAAGCAGAGTAGTGCGGTTAAGTGTTATAATATGTTAACGGTAGTGGTAGTGTAACTAAATGATTAGACCAGAGATTAGACTCTAAGGTATACTAGTGAGTAGAATATTAGTTTATGAAGTTTTTCGTCCCTTGATAAGTTCGATTAGAATAAAATTGATAATTGATCTTAATGATCAGATTGAAATAATAAATGTTTCTTTATTTGGAGCATTTATTAAAAAAAAACTATTTGTTTCAGATAAGTACATTTGAAAGAATTTGTGGAAATAAGTGATTTGCATTTATATTTTGAAATAATGTTTAAAAATTAATTATTTGTTTGTTTAAGAATCAATGTTTGAGTTTTGTGTATTTTGAATAAACATGTATATTTATAAATGTCTTTTTTTAGACTAATAATATTTTAGAAAAAAAAGCTAGAATAGATTTCTGAAATATTACTATTTAATATTTTTAACAGATTTCAAATTTTTATTTCAGAAATATTACTGTGAAATATTATATTTAGAGGACATTTTTACGTTTCAGGTACATTTCAGAAATATTTCTGGGATGTTTCGTAATATTAATACAACATTACAAATGTTTCAATGTAATATTTTTGAAATATTTCTGAAATGTGTTTGTGCTGTATGGGCGATTAAAATTTGTGTGCTTCTTAACGTTAGAGATCAGCACGATTTTTCATTTATTTTAGCTCATGTTTCATTATTTTATCTTACTGAAAGCTAAAATCAAAAGCAGCGCATTGAATACTAATATATTGCTGAATTCTTCATAAAATGACCATTAAAATGATGTTCCACATGATCCCCTTCATCTTTTTAAGATTATAAATAAAGGGTCGATGATGAACATCTATACCTATATCCTTTAGGGTTGCCAAACGTCCCGCTTTAGGCGTAAATGAAACGCTTTTTCACTTGCTGGTACTCGCACTCCAAAGCACGAAAATGTCACGCCTATTATTCAAATGCCAACCACGCTTTTTACTCAAATGCCGCGCTTTTTACTCAAATGCCGCGCTTTTTACTCAAATGTCACGCTTTTTAAAAAAATTTCAGACCTCCCCAGAACAAAAACAGACTTTATAAAAATTAGGAATATGAGTACAACCTCCACAAAAAAAGCCTTATTTTTATAAAAATATATACCTACCGCTTTTTTAATCTGTCGTCACCATTGTCCCGCTTTCGTAAATCCGGCAACCCTAATAACACACGCCTTATCCTTATTGGGAGTGAACGACGGAGGGCTATTGATATTTATTGAAAGAGTGTCCCCCATGAAAATAAAATTGACGTGATTTTTCATATTATTTACTGGAAGAAAGATATTAAGGGTAGAAAGTTTTCAAACACAGTATATCGCTATAATTATCGTCTATCACCAATCGTTACACAGCGTAATCAGTGGCGCATTACATTTGACATTGTATACAGGGTGTCCCGAAATTAGACGGTCATATTTTAACAACGTAATCTACATCCTAAAATAGGAATAAAAGTTCATATAAACATAGGTCCGAAAACGTTTCGTTTTCGAGATACAAGGTGTTACAAGTGAAGTCCTGATGGCACATTTTTGTAAATATTTTCTAAAATTTCTTTAGTCACCGGTTTTCCAAAGTAAAAAAAAAATAAAATTTCTGATTTGATAGGCCTACTAATTATTGTTTACAATTTCGAATAAGATAACTTTATCATGAAATTTTCAAATGCTTAGGACGCACCTAGCGAGATGCAACAAAAGTAACTTTATTATAAAGAAAACATTGGTTTTCCAAATTTTATAGTTAAAAATGTTAAAAACTATCAACAAAAAAACTTAGGGCAATTTTACCCTAAACCCCCTAATTTTTACTCACCTATGAAGATGATTAAAAACTGGGGTTTAGTCCATTTAATAGAGCTTAAAAAGGTAAGCATTTGTGCCTAAATTTCACTTAGTTATCTTTAAACGTTTAGAAAATATTTACAAAAGAGTGTCATCAGGATTTCACTTTTAACACCCTGTATCTCGGAAAAGAAACGTTTTCGAACCTATGTTTATGTGAACTTTTACTCCTATTTTAGGTGGTAGATTATGCTGTTAAAATATGACCGTCTAATTTCGGGACACCCTGTATATTATTAATAAAATGATTTAAATTGCTGACAAAAAATTATTTTCCTTATGGTTATTTTATTTAAACGTGGAGATTTGAGATACACGTGGTGCATTTATTATCCAAATTTGAATGAATCGTAAATCGATTCATTTAAGTAGGTATCGATATATGTACCGAATCAAAAAATGAATATGAAAAGATGTTCAAGGTTTTGCACATGTTTTGCATTACTGACACCTTTAGTTTTCTACAAACATGATATTTTAAATTTTAGTGTACCTAGGTTAGTATGTATTTCATTATTGATGTAAATAAAACATTTAAAAATGATGCAACTTTCACTATTGTTGGAAAAAGGTAAAGGAGGTCATTCGCATTCGAATGGAAATGTATATTGTATACTAAAATCTTCTGTAGCTAGACAAGTAATACAACGAGGGCAATTAATACGAACATAACATTTGTGATTTGGATGTTTAGTCATTGCTCATAGTCATGGCCTTAGTTAAACCACGGCCTTCTTTACGTAATTATTGTATTGATAATTATTCATTGAGATAGAATAAAGTACCTAGAAACGAGATAAACACTATTTTGCGATATAGCAGGGGCAGGGTTGCGAGATTCAGTACGTTTGTTACTGAATTCAGTACTTTTTAAACTTTTTCAGTTTCTCAGTGTTACGTTGTTAGTTTTACCTCCGTTTTCGTTAAAAATAGTAAATTCAGTACAATTTTCACTACCATTTGGACATTATTCGAATAAAGTGACGTATTTTATCAATGATAGATGACAGTTAAGTCATGTGATAAGTCAAATAATTTATTTGAAATTGAAATTTATTGCACGTTATTTAATTGTAATTCTGAAAGTAGAATGGACTACAGTTTTTTTGTTACGTAGGTATAAAGATTACATAATTTAATAAGGACCGATTCCACCGTTGTGTTAAATGGAGATTAAAATGACATTGTTAATGTAAAAATATCATTTTAAACTCTGTTTAACACAACGGTGGAATCGGTCCTAAAAGTGTTAAAACACCAGAAAATAATTTTTATTTCACTTGTGGCCAGCCCATTTGTTCGTATAGGGTAAAATTTTTATAAATGTTACAAATTTTTCTATATTAGTTTATGAATTTAAAGATCCAGCCATTTTTAAGGTGTTCGATTTTTAAAGTTGATGATTCAGTACGTTTTTTTGAAATTTAGTACGTTTTAAAATGTTTTTCATTACGATTTGTCATTTTCATTCTAGCAGCACTCTTATATAACAGAGAACAGAGGGAATCACTTCGAGTGACGAAAAAGTGAAATGAAAATGGCGACATGAGTCGTACTTTACAACATCTCTCCTTGCATCCGATATGGATATTCAAAAGCAGAAATAGCGTCTCAATGATTTTATTCAATACTTTCTTCAGTAGCAGCAGATCATAGATTACTAATGTGAACAGCAGATTGACAAATAAGTTTTCTACTGAACGATAAGTTTTATCAACGTTGCGCGAAACTAACTTGAATTTTGAAAAGTATTCTTTGAAGGATTTATTACTATTTTTTCATCAGCGTCACTTTAGAAACAGCACCACAACAGCACACAGTACTGTTAATTAAAACTTAACTGTGAATGGTTGAGTAGAGAATTCTTTCTAAGAAATAAAATTAATTTTTAATCATGAATCAGAATAATCGGACAAATGAGGCTCATCTGTATAATCACCGGCATCTTTCTTTTTTGAATCCATCCACTAATAAGTTAAATAACAAGTGGTTTAAGTCTAAGGTCCAAATAACAGAACATCTTGTCGTATTTGTGTTGTTTTGTAACATTCACAAAGCTTATATGTCATTAGTTCCGAATTTTCAGTCTTGTTATAGAAGGTCTTTGGTTGTAAATGACACAATCGATTCTTTGTAAGGAAAATATAAAATACCGATTTGCAATAACATGATTCTCTTACATCATGTTTATGGCAAGGTGCCATGCTCATCATTATCAGAGATTAGGTTAATTACCCGTTCTTGGGTATTTAATTTTTACCGTAGAAGCACAACGAAGAAAGTAGCTGAAGAGTTAGGTAGTGATTATTTTAAAAAGGAACATCATTATTAAAGTGAATAGTTAAGTTTAAAAAAATCGTGCAGCATGTGTGGAATATGGGCAGTGTTTGGACTCGAATCCAATTTACATTCTCATTGTGCTTCTACGTTTTCCAAAATCGGGCACAGAGGACCAGATGCTTGGAGGGTTGAATATGATGATAAGGTAAAGAATTGCTGCATTGGATTTCACAGATTAACAATCGTTGACAGCATTTGGGGAATGCAACCCATGAAGTTACACAAATATCCAAATTCCATATTGATATGTAACGGAGAGTTGTACAACTGCAACAGACTTGCAGAACAATACGATTTTAAGTATGAAACGAAAAGCGATGTAGAATGTATCCTTCATCTGTATCATAAATTTGGAATAGAAGAGTGCGTCAAGAATTTGGATGGTGTATTTGCGTTTTGCCTCGTAGATATTGCTAAACGGAAAGTGTTTTTAGGGAGAGATCCCTATGGAGTAAGACCGCTTTTTAGAGTTACTAGCACCTCTGGAATTCTCGGCATTTCTTCAGAAGCAAAAGGTTTGATTCAAATCGAAAAAGAATTGAATGGCGAAGGTAAAACTTTAGAACCATTTCCACCTGGTAGTTATGCAGAATACGATTTATTAGAAAATGGAAAAACAATATTAGCAAAAGCTGAGAAATATTTCAAACCTGGTGTTAAACCAAGTTTTCTACCCTTTTTGCCACATTCAGAGTTATCACCAAATGAACATCAGGTAAATATTAGAAAATTATTAAAGGCTTCTGTTAAAAAGCGGCTAATGGCAGACCGAAGAATTGGATGCTTACTCTCTGGTGGTCTTGATTCCTCACTAATTGCAGCTTTACTTGTACAAGAAGCTAAAGATGCAAACTTGCCCTACAAAATACAATCCTTCTCTATTGGAATGGGTGATAGTCCTGATCTCAGAGCAGCCCGACTAGTTGCGAAACATATAGGCACAGATCATCATGAAATTACATTTACTGAAGAAGATGTTGCCAATGTGCTGGATGATGTTATATATACATTGGAAACTCCTGATATAACTACTATCAGAGCTTCTTTACCTATGTACCTGCTCTCAAAATATGTTGTAGAAAACACAAATACAACCGTTTTACTTAGTGGCGAAGGAGCAGATGAAGTTGCTCAGGGGTACATTTACTTTAGAGATGCGCCCACAGCTCAAGCTGCCCATGAAGACAGTTTAAGGTTGCTGCGAGAAATATACATGTTTGATGGTTTGCGGGCGGACCGAACTACAGCGTCTCAGTCACTAGAATTGCGAGTTCCTTTCTTAGATTTGCAGTTCACAAACTATTACTTAAACTTGGACCAGAAACTTAAACAGCCAAAAAACAACATTGAGAAACATCTTTTACGCTCCGCTTTTGATGGGACTGATCTACTGCCTCACGATATCCTTTGGCGGCCAAAGGAAGCTTTCAGCGATGGTGTAGCCTCACAAAGAAAATCTCTGTTTGTTATACTGCAAGAAATTGTCGATAAGAGAATGCCTGAACCTTTTGATTTAGAACTGGCTAAGAAGAAATATCCACATTGCAGTCCTCCAAGTAAAGAAGCTTATTATTACAGGGAAATTTTTGAGAAAACTTATTCCAAATTGGCACCGAACTTTTTGCCTCATTATTGGATGCCACGATGGGTTGAAGGTGTTACAGATCCATCAGCAAGGTTTATCAAACATTACGGAGGCGACGGAAACGAGAAAAAATAAATTATGCAAGGATAAATTTGACTGTATTTTTATTCGAATAATGATTTTTAAAATTGTGTTGCTTATTTATTTGTTTATCCATTTATTTTTATAATATACTTTTTTCTGTTTCTCTTACATTATTTCTTGAACTGGGTCAAATCACATCGTGAAATTTAAACAAACTCACTTAGAAAAAGTTTATAATTTTTGATAATTTACAAAAATAAAATTATTTAATACAATATAAACTACCTTTTGACTTATCTAAAAAAATGATTTAAAATTCATTTTGTTCTTAATTCTATCGTAAATCACATGTTCAAAGTTTTTCAAATTTTAGTACAAAAATTGCTTATGGTTTAGATTCATGGTAAATAGAAAGATTGAATAGCATACTTGTAGATTACATAATACATCTTTCAACTCACTAGATACTCATTCCATATGAACTGGTCCAACATAGATCGCTCAATGATTATAAACATTTATATTTTTGTGCAGTACTGTCGACATAAATATGGATAGATTAATACAATAATAAAAGTCATAAAACAGTCAAGTACCCCTAAAAAATCTTTTTCTTTAGGTGATCTTTAATATCTGAAAAATATTTTAATGCAAATTTGCATCCTATTTTTTCAATTTCCTCAAATTTCGTAATTTTGTTTCAATTCATTAAGTTAATATTCGGTTCCAGACGCATAGCTCAAAATTTAATAAAATACCAATCTCTAAATAAATGTACCTACATTCCCCGATGAGAACAGTTTGTGCAATTTTAATCATAGAAAAAAGTAAGGGTGAGAAACAAGAAAGGGATTAACATTTTTGAGATTATAATTTTACCTCTGGAATAATGCAGATATTGCAAGTAAATGCATTCCAGTAATTTTTCTAGGTGTAATTGCATGGATAACAGCCTAATAAAGGTTAAAAAAACAACAGTAGGTAGTTCATTAACCCTTTGAGTAAGCATGTCACACATGTAAGACTATTCGATTTTGTCTGTGGTGTGTAAAGCGAACAGGTAAGTGCTGTTGTTTCAGTGAAAGGGCAAAAAAGTATCAAATTTTGAACCTGGGAAGTAAATTACAAAAAACAGATTTTCAGTCAATTCAATACCCACTGTTTTTTATTTTATATTTACTGGCTTGCAGACTAGAAAATAATTCTTTAGAAATCTTTAATAATAAATTAATAGCTCATGGAATTAGAAGAGCCTAGGACCAACCATTTTGGAGATGTTTCTAAACAAAAAATATTCAATTTAATCTACCCAAAAACACAGCCAATAATACACAAAAACATTAATTTCTTGAACCAATTCTTATAGATTGTTCATAACAATTTTTATGCTTAGCTATCTAATAGTACAGAGCTCATCTTTTTGTGTTCTTCTTTAATATGTGCTAATTGTTGTGTAGCTTCACTAATGTCAGGTTTGAGATCTTGATACACACTCAGTTCTTCCACTAACTTTTCTTTAGTATCTTTTAAAATTCGCAGCTTCTCTACTTCTTTGGATATATTTGGTAAATTGAACATTGGATCTTTTAACCAAGGATATTTTTTCTGAAAAAAAAAAAAGTTAAAACTGTTTATAAAGCCTCACATTAGACATTTATCTATAGTTATTATAGCTAAGAGAAGCTGTAGCGGCAATTGTGATAATTTCATGAAGCTGAAACTAGCAGCCTGTGTGAGAAAATGCATACAAGTTAGATATCACAAAATAAAGCAATTTTACTACTTAATTTGTAATAATAATATTAGTAATAATAATGATAATAATAAAGGGAGGTTATCCGTATTTGGAAAATAAATATTAGTAAAAATGAAATAAAAAAAACTTTAAATGTATATTCAAATTTTTTTAACGAAAAATTATCGGCGCTGTGTTAAATCATACAAAAATAGATTCCTCAAGTAATAAGCTACAAGAACAGGTCAATTGAAAATACAGTATTGAGTGCTGGATTGTTGAAATTATTATATTTGTGTGCTAGAATAATACCTAATACAACAAACATATTGTTTTTTAACGAAAAATAACCGGCGCTGGGTTTTATCATACATAAATTGAATTCTCAAGCAATATGCTATAAGAATAAGTAAATCAAAACTACAATATTCAATACAAAAACATTTAGGCTTGAGAGACATTTCCAATAAAAATGTGATTTATCTTAACGAAAAATTCTCGGCGCTGGGTTATATCATATATCAATAGATTTCTTAATCAATAGGCTACAAGAAAACGTCAATCTTAAATATAATATCGAGGCTAGAACGCTAAAAATGTCCAAAAACCATTTGACTCGGAAGACACTTCACATAAAAATGATTTTTCTAAATGAAAAATTATCAGTGGCAATATGCTACAAGAATACGTCAATTTAAAATACAATATCGAGTGCTAGAACGTTAATAATAACAAAAATAATTATTATTATTATTATTTATTGTATTTTTGTTTGACGTATTCTTGTAAACTATTGCATAAGAAATCCACTGATGTAAGATTTAACCCAGCGCTGACAATTTTTCATTAGGAAAAATCATATTTTTATGTAAAGTGTCTCTCGAACCTAAATATATTCTGTTAATTTCATCTTTCTAGAACTCGATATTGTTCTTTTAATTGATGTATTGTTATAGCATATTACTTGAGGATTCCACTGATGTATGATTTAACCCAGCGCCGATAATTTTTCATTACGATAAATCATTTTTATGTGAAGTGTCTTTTGAGTCTAAATATATTTTGTTATTAATATTCTAGCACTCGGTATTGTACTTTTGATTAACGTACCTTTGTAGGATTCTGCTTTAGTCATTCATTGATTTATTATATAACGCAGCACCGTTAATTTTTCGTTAAAAAAACATATTTTTTGTGTTAAGTATTACCCTGGCATACAAATATAATAATTTTAACAATCCAGGACTTGATATTGTATTTTCGATTGACATACTATTATCAACTATTGCTTAAAGAATGCATGGAAGCATGATTTAACCCAGCGCCGATAATTTTTCTTAAAAAAAAAAATCATATTTTTATGAGAAATGTTTTTCAAGCCTAAATGTTTTTTGTTATTTTCAACGTTCCAGCACTCGATATTGTATTTTAAATTGACGTATTCTTGTAGCCTATTGCTTGAGTAATCAATCCACTGATATATCATATAACCCAGCGCAGATAATTTTTTATTTAGAAAAATCATATTTTTGTGTGAAGTGTCTTCCGAGCCAAATTATTTTTTGACATTTTTAACGTTCTAGCACTCGATATTATGCTAAAGATTGACGTTTTCTTGTAGCCTAAAGATTAAGAAATCCATTGATACATGATATAACCCAGCGCCGATAATTTTTCTTTAAGAGAAATCACATTTTTATTGGAAATGTATCTTGAGCCTAAATGTTCTTTCATATTTTTAACTTCTAGCACTCGATAATGTACTTTTGATTAACTTATTCTTATTATTGCTTGAAGATTCTATTTCTGTATGATAAAACCCAGCGCCGTTAATTTTTCTTAAAGAAAAAACATTTTTATAAGAAATGTTTCTTAAGCCTAAATAATTTTTATTTTCAAAATTCTAGCACTCGATATTGTATTTTAAATTGACGTATTCTTGTAGTCTATTGCTTGAGTAATCCACTGATATATCGTATTTTTATGTGAAGTGTCTTCCGAGCCAAATTGTTTTTTGATATTTTTAACTTTCTAGCACTCGATATTATGTGTAAGATTGACGTTTTCTTGTAGCCTATTGATTAATAAATCCATTGATACATGATATAACCCAGCGCCGATAATTTTTCGTTAAGAGAAATAACAACATACAGGGTGTTTCAAAATTCATGCGACAAAATTCAGAAGGTGATTGCTCGTATGAAATTAAGATGGGTCTTTCCTATAACAAAATTTCCTCAGCCCACTCCTTTCCGAGTATCACCCTTAAATGGTGGTGACTAAAATTGAGTTTCTATTTTTTTTCTAAAATTTTAGTAAAGCTAGAAACTTGAAATTCTGTAATTTTCTTGCACTCGCAAAGGACTAACCACGGTTATTTTTTCAATATTCCTGTTACATTATAGGGGGGTGAAATTAGCAACCCTTATTTTATTTCATATCAAAACTTTTTTTCGAGATGATGTTTTATGAAATAATTTTATAACTTGAAAACTTTGTTTTATTTAAAAAAAAAAAAAATTATTTTTAATTTTTTTCCCAAAACCAATAGCTTCATAGAAAAAAAAAATACTGTTATCCATTCAATTTATTAAAAAAATTATAAATTAGGGTGTTTTTTTTTCTCTGAAGCTATTGGTTTTGGGAAAAAAATTCAAGAATAAAAAAAAATACTGTTTTCCACTCAATTTATTAAAAAAAATGATAAATTAGGGTGTTTATTTTTTCTTCTCTGAAGCTACTGGTTTCGGGAAAAAATTCAAGAATAAAAAAAAATTTAAATAAAACAAGGATTTCAAGTTATAATTTTATTTCATAAAAGTTCATCTCGAAAAAAAGTTTTGATATGAAATAAAGTGTTGCTAATTTCACCCCCCTATAATGTAACAGGAATATTGAAAAAATACCCGTGGTTAGTCCTTTTCGAGTGCACGAAAATTACAGAATTTCAAGTTTCTAGCTTTACTAAAATTTAAAAAAAAAAAATAAAAACTCAATTTTAGTCACCACCTTTTAAGGGTGATATCTCGAAAAGGGGTGGGCTGAGGAAATTTTGTTATAGGAAAGATCCATCTTAATTTCATACGAGCAATCACCTCCTGAATTTTGTCGCATGAATTTAGAAACACATTACACATTTTTTTTAAGCGGACAAAATTCTTGACAATCTCTTTTCCCTAATTGCCACATGTCGTATTTCTCTAGGATCTACCAACTTTGGCAGCAAACAATTAAAATAGAAATTTGTCAGCTGTGGTAGCATTTTTGCCTTCCAGAATTTTTCATTTCATAAATTAACTAAAAACTAAAGTAAACAAACACCTAACAACGCCTCAACAACAAAGTAAGACAACTATTTTTCGACACAGGAATTAACAAATTTAACTAAACAGCAGCTACCCTTTTAACCACGGGCTTCATAGACTAGCAGCGTTGCCATATTCACTGTATCATTGTTCTAATAGAATTAGTATCGGAAGGCACCGGTGTTATTCAGCGGAATGAAAACTATGTTCTTTCGTCCTGTTTAAAATTGGTAATCTTTTTAAAAAAAGTTATTTAGAAAATAGTTAAGATATTTGTTATAGAATGACGCTAAAGGGCCAAAAAATTAAATTTGTTAAAAAGTTGAAATTTTTGTTGTTTTTCTTTGAAAATATAAGTTTTTCGCGATTTAGCATCATGCTTGGTTCATTTTTAGAACGATTGGCCTAAACCATTTTTTTACAATTTTTTTTAACTGCCTCAAACGTAAAATTGATTTTTGGTGGAGGAGTGCCCGTCATGTTTGCTCTTAAAGAAAAATCATATTTTTATGAGAAATGTTTTTCAATCCTAAATAATTTTTATTTTTCACATTCTAGGACTCAATATTGTATTTTAAATTGACGTATTCTTGTAGCCTATCGCTTGAGTAATCCACTGATATATCATGTAACCCAGCGCCGATAATTTTTCATTTAGAAAAATCATAGTTTTATGTGAAGTGTCTTCCGAACCAAATTGTTTTTTGTAATATTTTTAACGTTCTAGTACTCGATGTTATGTTTAAGATTGACGTTTTCTTGTAGCCTATTGATTAAGAAATCGATCGAATCATGATATAACCCAGCGCCGATAATTTTTCGTTAAGAGAAATCACATTTTTATTGGAAATGTCTCTCTAGACTAAATGTTTTTTGATATTTTCAACGTTCTAGCACTGGATATTGTAGTTTTTATTAACTTATTCTTATAGCATATTGCTTAAGGATTCATTTTATGTATAAAACCCAGCGCCATTCATTTTTCATTAAAAAAAAAAACAATATCTTTGCTGTGTTAGGTATTACTCTAGCACACAAATATAATAATTTCAACAATCCAGCACTCAATACTGTATTTTCGATTGACCTGTTGTAGCCTATTACTTGAGGAATCTATTTATGTATGATTTAACCCAGCGCCCATAATTTTTCGTTAAACAAAATTTGAATATACATTTAAAGTTTCTTTTAAAGTAGCTATATACATTTAAAGTTTTTTTTTAAAGTACCTATATACATTTCATTTTTACTAATATTTATTTTTCCAAATATGGATAACCTCCCTTTATTATCATTATTATTGTTATTAATACTACTATTATTATAATAAGACAAATTAATAATAATAATAATAATAATTAATAATAATAATAATAGTTTATTATTTATCACATAAAACAAATGTAGAATACATAATTTTATAACAATTAATGATGATAAATAAAAGGTAATAGTTAGGTCTGCAGACCAATTCTTCCTCTATGACCTACAAATACAAAATTAAATATATTTATATTCCCATACCCATGTCCTAATGTAATTAAAGAAGAAGAGAAAAATAAATATTTGGAAGTGACAAATACTAGACATTAAGTACCTACTAGTGCATTATATTTATATATAACTGAAAGGGTAATTATATTGCATAGATTTTTCAATATAAAAAAAAATTATATTTTAAAAATATTTGCAGAAAATTATAATAACAATCAATAAAAAACAAAAAAAAAAAAACGTATAACATTTTCGCCAGAAAGGAATACAGCAAAAGTTAAATCGTAAGATGAACATTTTTTAGTGTTGTTTATTAAATAATCTTTTTTTTATGTTTCTTTTTAAATGATTTAATAGAAAGGGCAACATCAGTTTCACCAAATAGGTGGCCGAAATGAGATATTTGATACGAAAATGATCTTTTGTACATTTCCTTATAGTTTTTAGGTATATTAAGTGTATTTTTAGTTCTAAGTTGAAGATTGTGAACATCTGTTCTATAGGTGATTTTCTCATAAAGATATGATGGGGTTTTAAATTTTAAAATTTTGTGAAATAGACAGAGTGAGTGCAGAATCCTTCGATTATACATAGAATGCGGCCTCTTGATACCGAAGATCATATGCATACAGGAATTTTGTACTTTTTGTTTTCGACCCAAATCATTGCTGTCAATGCATGGTGAGAAGACTACATCCGCATGGTTAAAGTGTGAAAGAACTAGAGAGTCACATAGTGATATTTTAATAGAATAAGGTAAACTATGTCTATGTTGATATATCAATTTTAAGGAAGAGTATGCTCTTTTTATTTTCTCACTTACATGTTTTTTAAACCTCAATTTGGAATCAAAAACTACACCTAAATTTTTGCAGTTGTCACTAAAATGTAAAGTATTTTCATCTAATTTAATTTTGAAATGAATTGTAGCTTTCACTTTCTGTTGCTCATTGCTAAAGACTATTGCACATGATTTTTTTCCATTGATAGTAAGGAGATGATCATTAGAATATGTAACAACTGATTTTAAGTCTTGATTAATTTGATTTTGGGCTTCTAACATATTTTCTATTTTAAAATGATGATATATTTGTGTGTCATCAGCATACATGTAATATTTACAAAATTTTAATGCTGAAGGAAAATTTGATGTGTATAAAGAAAATAAAAGAGGTCCTAAAATGCTGTGGTACTCCTTGCATAATATTTATATAATTAAAAATATCGTTGTTCAACTTAACACACTGACTACAGTTAGTTAAATAAGAACAAAGAAGAGAACGTGCTGATTCCCTAAAACCAAGGTAATGCATAACTGACATCAAAATTTGATGGTTTAGCATGTCAAACGCCCTGGAATAATCTATTAGAACCAAAACAGTAATTTCATTTTTGTCAAGACCTGATAGTATGTCATCTGATATTGACGCCAGTGCAGTCACATAGCTATAGCCTTGACGAAAGCCAGACTGGCACTTGGGTAACAAATTGTTCCTAGACACATGATATCTAATTTGTAGTTCCATAGTCTTTTCAAATAATTTGGATAATACTGATAGAATACTTATACCTCTTAAATGACTCAATTCCATAGGACATGATATTTTTGGTATGGGCAACACAAAGTCTTTTTTCCAGCTTACCAGAAAATACCTTTTAGTTATGCATTCATTAATTATATGCCTGATATAAGGTATTATGAATGGACAGCACAGAAAAATTATATGAATGTTTAAACCATCAGATCCAAATGCCTTAGATTTAATATTTTTTAGAATCTTAAATATGTCCGATTCAGATATGGTATTAAAAGTAAGTAAGGAATTCACGGTGCTCTTTACTTTGTCGTTAAAAAACTCAACTTTTTGATTTGGATTTAGATTACTGGATGGACCGACTAAAAAAGGGTTAATTTCATTTACTTTTCTTAATACTACTGGTAATTCTTTATTACATTTGCTTCCAATGTCAATATTTTTTAAAACTAACCATTTTTGTTTAGTTGTAGAATTATTTAATTTAAAATGTAGAAAAGCCTTTTTTTCTCTTTTTATTGCAGCAGATGTAAAATTTCTGAGTTCTTTATAATAATTCCAATGTGCTATTACTTTTGTTTTTCTATATTTTTGTAATGCCTTATCCCTTAACTTTTGCATTAGTTTAATATTATAAGTGATCCATGGAGGGTTTTTATTTTTTGCTGTATTGATGGTAGTTCTTTTTGTAGGTGCATGTTTGTTAAGGGTATTTAAAATATTGCTATTGAATAAATTTAATTTCTGATCAATATTAGTTATGTTATAAATCAAATTCCAATTTAGTGACTCTAAATCCTGTTCAAATTGATTAATATTAATAGTGTTCAGATTTCTATAAGTTATTGTTTTAATTATTTCTTCTTTAGTTGATACTTCAAAACTGCAATATACTAAAAAATGTCTAACTAAATTGGTATCAGTTACTCCCGAGTCATTATGTTGCTTTAAACTAAATGATTCAGTAACTGCTAAAAGATTAAGGCACGTGTTTGACTGTATATCCAAAAGATCTATATTAAAGTCGCCTGTACAAATTATTTTGTCACACCCAGTATTATATATATCAACAAGTGTATTTTCAAATTTGTTTAAAAATAAAGAATAGTTAGATTTAGGAGGTCTGTAGATTACACCAATAGCATACCTCACCTTATTTATATTTACCTCTATCCAAAGTTGTTCAACATAATCCATACTTTTGCTTATCAGAACTTTGAATCTTAAATTGTTTTTAACATATAAAAGAATGCCTCCACCCCGCTTATGAAGTCTATCGCATCTGACTAGATTATATCCATTAATTTGAAGTAAATTGTCATCATCTTCTGGTTTTAACCACGATTCAGATATGGCGAAAATGTTATATGATTAATTAAGCAGTAAAGTTGCTTTATTTTGTGATATCTAACTTGTATGCATTTTCTCACACAGGCTGCTAGTTTCAGCTTCATATAATTTCACTTACCTCAAATTTTACTACTTCATTTTCATATCGTTTAGCTTTTTCTTCTAATTGTTGAATTTGTTCACTGCTAAGATTTAATATTCCACATAATTTTTCTTTAGACTGTTCCAGTTCCCTAAAATATACATTATTCTCAATTATAAACTAAATAAAACAATTGGTCACTCAACATTTCATATTAACATTTAGTTACTGAAAATGCATTCTATTCAGTGCATGAATTTATAATTTTATCCATTTAATTAACCTTTAACTTTTTTCTTTGTAACTGATGGGGCTTTGTGTATTTGATGTATAAGGTTAAGATTTACCTTTTTGATGTCTTTATATCTTCAGAGAGTCGTTCATTAATATTAACATATATTTTGATACATATTTTTAACTTTGAAAGGTAATTGTGATGTTTTCTTAACCTCTCTGCTTGAGATTTGTATGTGGTTGCTTCTAGATTGTATACCTGATCTTTTATTTCAGACACTTTTTCTGATATATCTACTGGTATCCTCATTTCTTCATTTAAAAACTTCAGTCTTCTTAAAATTTCTTCCATACGTGCATCTGAAATATGCTGTATTATTTTTTTTTTATAAACAAACCATGGAAAAACTTACTTTCTTCTCGTAAAAATTGAAACCTTTCCTTAATATAATTGGATAATTGTTCTGGGACAGTTTTACCAGACATTTTATTAAATATTTAGGAGATTATTGGTGTCAAAGCTCATTCAATTTCACTTTTAATTGGTTTTTTAACGAATTTTTTATAACAAAAAATATCTTGACTTTTTCTAGCTTTAGGTCAAACGATCAAACCAAATACCGAATATTTTTAAACAACATTGGCTAAGTAGCCGATAACGGTTACTTTAGAAAATAATGGCAGGGAACATATAAACACATTGAAACACATTTATTCGTAATCTATATGTAAAATAACCGTTTTTTATACAACAATAAATAAATAGTGAACAAGTAGGACTTTATTATAACATAATCACCTTTTATTATAAATTAACAAAATTTTAGGAAAGCCGATGCCGTGTATCGAGGCATAATTTTTCTTCTTTTTCATTAAATTCTTCTTTTTATGACATTTATGTTTCTCCGTTGAATTGGCAAAATAGTTCATTTTAATTTTAACTGTCAAAAAATAAGGCATATTTTTGTGACCTTCCACTTGCTAACCGGACGTTCTATTCGCGACTCGCCCTCTGGAGGACATTTGTAAAAGATGTATAAAAGTAAAACTATATGTTGCTAGGAGTAGCGGAATTTCACTACGTCGTCGGATTTTTAGCGCTTGAAGAAATGGAAATACCTTTTTTTAAGTAGCAAAATTTGTTTCTAGCAGTATGTACACATATTCTATATTTATTTAAGGATTTTTATAAAACCGATTTATTATATTGATTTTTTTAAATTTCAGTCTATATTTCGCTCTCGAAATATTCTCTTTTTTTATGTAACGACTGGTTATTAATTTGTATTAGTTTAAATTATAAAAATATTAAACAAAAAGAAAAGTCTCAAGTAAAAATAACAAAATCAGCCGCCAAATTCTTTGCACGGCAATTATTTCGAAAAAGTTTTCTGCTTATCCTCTCGTCACATTCTGAGACGAGGCAAAACCTTGCATTTTTAAATAAGTGACACAACACCCCGTCTTATAATTTATAACACTTTATTCAAGATTTTAAAATAATTTAAATATTTCTTTTAATCATTTAAAATAAACACTATGCTCCTCGGATTTCAACAATATTCGTCCAGCATTTTTCAATTTTAAATCATCTAAAATAAAAGCTATGCTCCTCGGATTTCAAAAATATCCGTCCAGCATTTTTCACTCTACTAGTCACGAAATGCTTACCACCTGCCATCGCGTGGTTAAAAAGCAAGTCATCTAGTAGGTCTTGGGCAGTTAATATATCATTTAGGCAACAAAACAAAGGAAAAACCAAAAACAAAAGAATTACTTGCTAACACCGCCCATCCAGGACAGTACAACTTACCGATCTTTTCTGTGATTGTGAATCCACGGATTCCTCATACCATTTACCAGACCACATTTATAAAACATAAAGCTTGCACGATTCTAACAATTATACTATATTTAATATTTCAAAAGATTTCACAAAATTTGTGCTAAGCAGAGAAAAAAAGCAATAAGTTCAGAGGTACTCCTCAGATATTTGGCTGACCTATACTTAATTTCTTTAATCACAAAAAAAAACTTTAAATTAAAGTTCAGATGTACTTCTCCTCAAATATTTAACTTACCTCTACTTAACTTTTTTTACTTGAAAAAGCTTTAATTGAAAGTTCAGAGGTGCTCCTCAGATATTTAATTGCCCTGTACTTAACTTTGTTACTAAATAAAAACAGTAGAGAAGTTCAGCGGTACACATCAGCTGACCTGTACTCGACTTTCTGGTAACATGAAAACAACATTAACCTGACCTGTGCTTAACTTGCCGAATGGTAGAATTAACAGTTAGTCGTAATTTGGAAAGAGCGCTCGTCCATCCAGATAAATTTTCCCAGTAGCGCCTCTGTTATAATTTAATGACTTGGTCACTAAATATCTTTATTTTCAACTCAGTGGTATGTATTGTTGAATAATTATTTCCAAACTTAAACAAATTTACCAATAAATGTTTAAGTTTCTCTGCGTTTTGTTTTTCTAAGCTTCTCTCAGCCGGTCTTTGATAGACAATATAATTTCTTTTAATGAAAACATTTTTTTTTCATCGAATTTCTACCAAAATTAAAAGACTACACATAAAGACACTTGTAACCACTCAGATGTTTCGCTTATCGCTAGGCTAGGACCACACTGTCATGACTCACGAGTGCTACTCCTATTTCGTAGAACGATACGTCGGACTGGGACTCATAAGAATTTTGGTGATAAGCACAGGAGCACAGCATTCTTACATAGACATTCATTCAATACGTTTCATTTTATGTATTATTATTCTTAACACCGATTAAATTCGATTCTATATTAAAATCCGATTTATTTCATTTAAAATTAATTAACATAGTTTACACACTATCTTATAAATAACGTAGTAGATCACTGCTAAATTATCCACATCATAAAAACAAATTTTGGAACCTATACCATTGCATTCAATTCTAAATGGTATTTTACTATTTTTAAAAGTTATGTTGCCTGCACCTTTTAACGTTATCAGTACTCTAAGTTACGATTGGATGTTTTTGCCATTCTACATTTCTCTCCGGTATCTATCAGATAGTTAAATTATAAATTTATTTAAAAAAAAAAAACTATCAAAATCAATAAATAATAATTTATTCGAGAGCTAGATGGTTGGTAAGTTTCTTTTTAAAACACGAAAATACCATTTCTATCGGCTACATACAATTATTTACCCCTACACAATGACGGTGTTTCAAATGAATACCACCAATATCGCCAATAACAATTATTAGCCGACTGACAAATTTAACGAATGAACACAAAAAAAGGACAGACGTCAATATGGCCAATAAGAAGTTCAAACAATCAATCAACTGATAAATGTAACGAATCAATAATTTGGGAAATACTCACAGGAACAGTCAAACCCCAAGCACTTCCGTGGTACTTTTAGTGAGTGAATCCCACCTCTGATAATGTTCAATAATTAAGTCAAATAGAACAATGAGTGAGCATCAACAGTTTGATTTCACTATAGCACTCAAGGCGACCCATCATTTCGTTCTACCTAGGAGAGTGCAGTCGACGGTTCGCTATTACCACCTTCACTTCCCGCACCCACCACTCTTGACTGCCAATGTTCTTTACATTATATTACAATGAGTAATCACACAAAATTTGTTTACCTGCTAACATATATGTGTATTAGAGTTAACTTCTAATGTGTTGTATATTTATTTGTTTGTCAACAAGATTTTATCTTAAACAACAAACGCATATTCTCTCTCTCTCTCTCTCTGGTGTTAATGTCATAATCAAAACTGAAGTTTTCATTATTTTCCAAGCGTATATCTACAAATTCACATTATGGAATCCATATGCTTTATGCATTGTGACAGTTTTATTACTGTTTAAATGTATACAAAGTACTACACCAATTACTTTATAATATAAGAATAAGGATAGAAAGATTTTTAATGAAGTTTATCAATAATAAACGTAATCAAATATCCTACTTATAGGTGACAAATTAATGCGAATTGTTGGATATTCGTTTTAAAATATTTAAAGTCAGGATTTATGATTAAAAACATAATTGGAATCAAGAAAGATCTATTTGAAAAGCAATTGAAAGCTTAATCTTCTTTTCCCAGAAGTGTCTTACACATACATGGTGTTGGCGACCCCTGTGCTTGTCAATTATTAATTGATCTTTACTGGACCAACAAGAATATTTTTTTTATTTAATGAAAAACAAAATTATTCAATAAGGTATAATTATTAAAGCTTTTCTTATAACAAATATTAATATTGCATATACAGTAAAAAATAAATTAATTTTTCTAAACAAGCAATTCAATTACCTAATGTTAATGTTTGAAGGATTTTTTGTAGGTTTTCATAATCTAGTTCCAAATTAACGACTTTCGATTTCTCACTGGCTGGTAATAGTTCCTGTGATATTTTTACAAAACCAATATTTACTGGTTTACTCTCTTTAAGAGCCTGAAACATAAAATTATTTATTTAAGGGAAACAAATTAAAATTCTCAAATGTTATCAATTTAAAAATAAAAACAAAGAAATAAAAAAACTCAAAGTCTGTGTTAACAGAAACATCAAGCGATAATTTCCCTCCGGAAAACAACTACTCCTTTGGATAATACCGCAACATGGATTGAATTATATCAAAATGAAAATAACAGATAGAAAATAATTTTCAACCCTTTAACTTTGATTTTGCTTACTAATAGAAATAGACATTCTTTATTATAACTCAGTATAGAGAACTTACAGTAGTCGAACTCTCTGTTGGCAACTTTGATCTCGATGTTCATCATAATTCAATTCCAGTGAATTTTGGCAACTAATTTAATGTTTCGAATTTTTATAGCTATTTTAACCTATAATTTCAACTAAATTATTAATTAAATGTTATTCAAAATTATAGTAGTTAATTATTCTTATTAAATCACATAAAGAAAACTATTACAAAAACGTCCAAAATAAATTCTAATTTAATCAAATACATAATACAATGGGATAAAAATTGATCTCCTTAGGCTGCAAATTTAATTATTCTGCCTCATTCAAAGAACGAAGTGAGTAATCTGTTGAATAATTTTTGTCTTTCAATCAATCGTAACCAGATAATTGGACATACAAATAAAAAATTAAAGAGGGTTAGGTACATAGATTATAACATAACTACTTAAACCTCAAATTCGTAGAGTGTATGTATTAAAATATTCGCTCTAGAAAATGATTTACCTCACATTCTTTTGTCACAAGCTGAATTTTTCAGAGATGAAAGGTCATAAGGTAACCCTTATTCCGGTGGTAATACAAAATTAGACTGTGTAGAAGGGCACTAGCATCAAAAATCTAGATATTCATACCACCGAATAGAGAAAAAAATACTAATTTTTTGGTCCAATGCACAATAAAATCTTTCTAGGGAGTAATTGTTTACACTTATTTAAAAAAATAATTTGCATTAGCCCTTATGGGTTTCAGCACTTCAAAAAATTCGGTTAAAAAGTCTTCTTTTTTAAATTTACCACTCATTTCACAAAAAAGGAAGGCCTAAATGAAAAAAAAAAAATTCTTTATAAAATTGTTGCTAATGTTTTGACAAGGTAACAGAGTAAACACCATATTTTTTGCTTTTGAATTAAAAGATATGTATAACAATAAACGATGAGAGATGTCACAGGTTTACGCTGTAGTTAATTCTCACCGCCAATTTCTATCTTTCTCTTCGCCTTCAAACGTAGCATAGCTTTGTTTCTCTCTACGTGCCAGCTGATGTATCACATTATTGATATGGTATTTTTTCATTTTTTTATTATAAAACTTCTCGTTAGGTGCCAATGGACAATGTGTCATATTGTTATCTGTTTTTACTAAAGAATTAATAAGTGTATGTGTTATATATTAAAGTACCTAATAAATTGGGAAGAAATATAGACATTTTGGCGTCTTTATTATATCTACATTCATCCTGTTGCAGCTGAATATATTTGGGTAAGCAATAAGTTTTAGTTTAAAATTTTAATTACAGATTTGTTATTGCAAGACGCAAAGACAGAAACGATATCAAAATAGGGAAGCCCAAAAGTTGCATATTATTTAAAGAATATGCTAATATATAGGTAAACATTATTTTTAGAAATAAATTTAATGCTCAAAAGATAGATGTGGTATTTGATCATTATAAAGAACATTCTATCAAAAATACACGTCAAAAGAGAGGATCCCAGAAATCAATTAATATAGAAATTAACCGACCCAATATTCCACTTCCGCAACAATGGAACTTGTTTATTCATTCCATATTTAACAAAAGACGTTTAAAAAATTTTCTGTCAGAGCAACTTCTTCAAAATTCCATTCAGAAAGAGCATATTCAATATGTAACTAGTGGTGAATTCACGAATATCAATAAATATGGGACGAATTTTGAACCATTAAAAGACGATTTCTTAAATTCAAATCACGAAGAAGCTGAATACTCGTATCTTATTGCACTATTGTCAGCCGAAAATTTCGGGACATTCACGCTGCATTGTTGATTGCAACGATACAGATGTTCTAGTCTTATTAATTTATTTTAAGTAGTTTTGAACCAAAAACATATGGTTCAGAACAGGACGAGGAGACTCATGACGATTTATACCAGTACATGATTTAAATTTGGATAAAAAACTTCTAAAAAATTTGCCTGCTTTTCATTCTCTAATCGGTTGTGATACAACCAGCCAATTGTCTGGCATTGGGAAAAGAATCTGTTGGAAAACCTACCTTGAACACCATCACCTTTTGGATGGATTTGGCACTGATCAGTTACTCTGAAAACATATTCTCTAAAATCTTGAAAACTTTTCAAAAAAAATTTTTATTTAAAAACTGCCAATGTTACTTCCATTAACATTTTGAGGGGATTAATGGCCTCTTCAAAAACCATCCCCAAATTGCCACCAACTGAAGACGACCTAAGATTACATTATTTAAGATGTTTTTATCAGCAAAATATTTGGCAAAGCTATTTAAAGCAGCAGATGCAGCTTCCTAATGTTGAAGAGAATGGATGGAAAGTAGATCAAGATGGAAGTCTGATACCTACTCTTAAGACTCTGCCCGACCTGCCACCAGACGTAACAGAACTATACACCGATAATTTTCATAGATGTACCATATTTTAACAATATTATTCTGTACTAGACTGTGGAAGCAAAATTTGCAAATGCCTAAAAAAATATTGGCTGTATCGGTTCCTGCACCTGTATGGCACAGAAAAACTGCAGAAATAGTTTGACCACAGCCGTTAATGTTTTGGAAAATGTTGATTCGTGTGGTGAATCTGATTCTGATTAGTTTTGAAAGTCTTGTACTTATAAATTTTAATATCATTAATTTATGGTTTATATACTTCTAATTATTATTATTATAATTTTTTTATATTGGGAATTTATTGTATTTTGCAAAGCAATAGCCTTACTGTTTATAATCGATACTTATATATACTGGGTTTATACCTTCAATAAATAGTTTATATTTTCTTATTTTTTATTTTCCTCAAAAAATAAAAAAAATCCTGAAGTAATTAATACACCCTATTTTTCATAGCGGATAAATCAATAATCCCTGTATATAATAGTATAAGAGAGTCAAACTGATTGCATACATTTTAGCACTGAGAGGGACGCATAGAGAGTCGAGAAGCTCTGCCTTCAATGTTTGCTTTCTAGTAAAACCATCACTAATTGTTTATTGCTATATTTTTGTTAATTTAAAAGAACAAAATATGGGGAAAGCATTGTTACCTTGTCAATACATAGCCGAAATTTTTATGAAGAATAGTTTTTTTTTCATTTAGGCCTTCATTTTTCGTCAAATGAGAGGTATATTTCTAAAAGAATATTTTTTATACAAATTTATGGACGGTTGAAACAGATATTGACGTTTAATTTTTTTTTCGACCATAAGAGCTAATGCAAATGATTTTTTTTTAAATAATTATAAAAAAATACTTCCTACAAAGACCTAATTGTGCATTAGAACAAAAAATGAGCATTTTTTTTTCTATACCGTGGTATCAATAACTCAATTTTTTATGCTAGTACCCTTTTGCCCTGTCTAATTTTGTATTACCTCCGGAATAAGGGTTATCATGTACTTTCATCCCTGAAAAATTCAGCTTGTGACACCGAAGTGGGAGGCAAAGTAAAAAAAAGTTTTAATCTACACCATACTATCTAGCTATATCGTAAGTTTATTCAAGCAATCCTGTTTTTCAATCAAACTCCAATAAAAGGCAAAATATTGACCAAGAAAGTAACTATAAATTACTGTTAAAAAAATATTGCTTTCTTTGCGTTGCTAATCCACAAAACTTTTATCTACTCGTATAATAATAAATAAAAAACATATTTATGGATAACTTACTTTTCAGAGTTTGGCGGAATGTAAAAAAAACTATTTTCTTAAAATCGTATACTTTTCAGAAAAGTAAATAATATAAGACACGATTTTTAATAATCTGCCATGACAGATACTCAAGGATCATTCTATCTTTGTTCAATCCTTTTGAAGTACTGAGATAAAATTTCATTATCTTGTCTAAATAACGAAAGGGGCGGCATCTGTGCACCGATTAGAACATAAAAATTATTAGAGTGCAACTACTGTAAGTTCTCTTTACTGGGATTCCAATGAAACATGTAGAAGCGTTAAACTTCGTCGCTAGTCATGGCTAGTGGTTGTGTGAAGATCAAAGTCACAAAGTAATGCCATCTACACTTAGGAAGAGAAATCAAAGTTCGCTGTGTTACCTAGTTCATAGAACAAGGCGGAATAATAACTCAAAGTTCGTGGCACAGAAATATCGAGCGAAAATTATTTCATTTCAAGAAATTTAGCAGTGTATGTAGACTTACTTTTGTCATTTCTTTTGTTGGAAATACTGTTAAATCTGATTCTATCTTTCCACCGAACTTCCTCCTGACTGCTTCAGCTGCCACCTTGGATTGGAAGTCATCTCTTTTTCTTTTAAGAGTTAACAATTTGTTTTGCTCCTCGGCAAAATGTCTTTTCCAAGCTGCCGGGCCATTGCCGGGTTTTAGTTTGCTAATTGAAGGGAATGTGGGTTTAGCCAGATGCAGCAACAATTCCTGAAATAAACGATTGACTTGTAAAAGAAGAAAAATAAGGAATATTTAATTTAGCCAACCTGGTGCAAGGCAGTGCCTTCTTTGAACAATCTATCCAAAGATTCTTCGGCAGTATTTTTGAACGTAGGTAAAGGTGCCATGCTGTCCAGTTGATTCTGTAATTCTTGGTTCTGCAATCTGATCCTTTCGTTACGTTCTTGGTGATAGATTTTACGTAAGCTGTCAATTTCCTGCATCAACAACGGAGAGTCCTTCACCACGGCAGGAAGGGTCGGTCCCATAGACTGAAGAGACGGTAACTGGGAACCTAAAACGAGAATATAGATTTCAACAATTGTTTGTAAAAAAATGTTGATAAAAAAATGTTGATCACAAAATTTGAATAAAAAAAAACACAAAAGTAAAAAAAACAAAAAATAAAAAAAAACACAAAAGTAAAAAAAACAAAAAATAAAAAAAACCAAAAAGTTTCTTACTATATACATTAAGAATGGGACACAGAACAACTGAAGATTCTCTGATTAAAAATAAGATGATTAAACGAAACATGCTCAAATAAAATATTACTGGTTTCCGAAATACAGGGTATTAAAGTTGGAAATCAAAAATTATTAATGGCTATATTTTTTTTTATCAGTATAATTTTACTAAATTTGGTAAACATTGTTGGTGTCATCAGATACACCTATTAGCAAAACAATTTATTTATTTGTGGGCAAGCCCATTTGAGAAATAAATTACAATTTTAAAATTATAATTAAAATGTAGTGAAATATATATGGTGCTGAAATAAAAACGTGGTATAATTCATTAGAACAGAAGTAAAAGTTGGAAATGCTTTTGCCAGTTCTCCCACTTTATACACATAAATTGACAGGTTGGCACCGGATCTCACCGAAGTGGACGCGATACATTGGCGTACAAAATTATTTTATAGATTTTAATAACAATTTCGAGTAAATAGTTTAATAAATTGTGAATAGCTGTTGAAATTTTGTAAAATTATAATTTGAATATTATAATACATGTTTAATAATTATTTATAATCCATAAATACATGCGATTGTCCGGTTCCGCCGATAACAATTTAAAATTACTTATTCTATGAAACGACACTGGCAGGTAAACATTACTGTGAAATTCTCGGAGCCGCCCGACGTGGTTTGACGTTTACGCCCTCTCTACCTACCAAAAGACTTTTCAACTTTTACTTTCTCTATACATATAGACTAAAATAGGTAAATAATTTAAAACATTTAAAAAGACAAAAGACAAAAAGGTTGAATAAAATATTTAAATTAAACATTAAAAATTAAAGATCAAAGATAAAAGATCAGTACTAAGTAATTGATTTACAAATTTATGAAAGGGGGTGTTAAATATCTCAAGATCGTTATGAGTGTTGCATAATCTTAACATTCTTGGAATACAGCTGCTAAAAGTATGATTTAAACGATAAAAAGGTACATACAATGTTTGTTTCCGTCGAGTTGAGCGCGTTGGAACATAAAGATTTATTTTTGTTAGAAGTTCAGTACAGCTGCATCTGCCATTGATAATTTTGAAAAGTAATATCAGGTCCCTGTGTTTCCTCCTAGTTTCCAAAGAGGGGATGTTTAGAAAATTCTCTATCAAACCATACTCGTAAATTTATAGGCTATATGTATCTAAGAAATTTATGTTGCATATTTTCTATGTTTCTGCTGTGCGTTATGTAATGTGGAGACCAGACAGAAGAGCAATAATCTAAGTGAAGTCGAACTAGTGAACAATAAAGGACTTTAAGTTAGTTAGAATAGTAATGGTTTACTCTAACCATTTGAGTTCTGTTCGTAAGATAGCTACTAATCCATTGCAGTACGACCCCATTTATGCCATATTTATCGAATTTTTGAAGTAAGAGAGAATGGTTGACTCTATCAAAAGCCTTAGAAAAGTCAGTATGCACAGAATCAATCTGGCAACCTTTCTCCAAAATTTCCGACAAGAAGTCGACGTAGGTAACTAGATTTAATTCAATCGATTTCCCAGCACAAAAACCATATTGATGATCCGTTATGATGCCAGAGCAGTCATAGGTAAGGTAGTCTGTTATAATGTTCTCAAAAACCTTAGGTATAGTAGTACTGAGAGTAACTATAGGTCGGTAATTTTTGACGTCTGACTTGCTACACGATTTGTATATTGGGGCGACATAAGATAGTTTCCAATAATCTGGAAATAATTTATTATACCAAAACTTAATTATCAACAAAATTCAGTTACCTGTAAATTTAAAAAATCTACTGACATTTGACAGTATATATAACATACTCTATAATTTCGTCAAAACACTCAAATTAAAATTGTAATTAGGAAATAGAAATAAAACATGTAAGTAGCGATGCTACCATTAAAAAAATTTGTACACCTGAAAAAATTGGTAAGAAAAGAAAAAAAAAAAAAATAAAGACAAGAAAAAATAAAAAAAAAACAAAAATAAACAAAACATTTAAACCATATTAAAATAATAAAGTTTGTTATATATTTTTATTTGTTCACCTGACAATTGACTGGCCTGTTGGTTCATATCCAGTGTCACTAACATAGTTAAAAAAAAATCTGGAAATTCACCCGTGGCGATAGATTTATTGAAAATATAGAAGAGAGGGCGAGACAATACGAAGCTGCAATTTCTTTATGTCAAGATTAGATAATTTCTTGTAAATGAACGAAATAGAAATGTGGTAAGAGGAAACATTAAGTTTTGATTCAATATCGTTAAAATTTTGATTAGTGTAAACTGATGAAAAATGCTTGGCCAACAGATTTGATACTTCACTGCCACAAGAAGCAAAAGAGTCTTCAAGGTTCATATTATCAGGTATGGCGTTATTAGATCTTTTGGTACTTACAAAATTCCAAAAGGCTTTAACATTACTTTTAACAGAAGTTTCAACAGAATGTATGTAATTTAAATAGCATTCTCTAGATATAATCCTGCATTGTGATCTTAACTGACTGAATATTTCATAACTTTGGGGAGTCCTGTTTAGCTTGTAAATCTTATGTGCAACCTTTTTATCGTTGACCAAGCTTCTGAGTTGAAAAGAATACCAATGTGGGAATCTGTTTATAACAAATTTCCTTAAGGGAACAAATAACTTAATTACCGAGTACAAAGCGTCATAAAGAGTAAGAATCATCCCAATCCATTGACTCCAAACATTGGCGTATACCCTCAAAATTGGCGTGGCGAAAATCATAATAATACTCTTCTCCAGGAGCATCACTTGAGTTCGTCTTATATTGAATTGAAGTTTCAAGAGGAGGATGATGAACATCAGGTGGGATCAATACATCAACGACTACCATCACTGTAAGTTCCACCGGGGTCAAAACAAGGTTGAGGATAACTCCTCTTTGGTTGAGCACTTTGTTGGACTGGAAAAGATTGTAAAAAGCGCATATGTTCGAGACGATTTCGATTTCACTTTCTTCCGATAGTGATGAACTGTAGGTAGATTATAATTGCCAAATATGTAAAATTGACTGATCGGATGTTGCTCATTTAGCATTAAAAGTTGATCAAAGTGAAGTTGGTATAGATTAGAATGAGATTTAGGAGGCATTATATGGCTTCTAAAATATGTAAGCAGTTTGTGTGGTCCAAGTAAATAAACAGTTGCTCAATAGATGGGTTAGAGTTGATAATACTCGAGAACTTTTTTCTAACAGCTCTACCTCTGCTAAAGATGCTGGATTGGGGTGAACGATCCTGTCTGTAGATGTTATAACCATTAAGACCAAGTTCGGCGTCGTTGATATCAGCTGTGAGCCATGTTTCAGAAAGAAAAATTAAGTTTTTTTTGTTATCCAACTAGTTTCTCACTTTTTTCAATTCTCTAATTAATGCGTTCTTTTACCAATTTGTTGTTTTTAATATTTATTATGTGTCTTATTATTGTGTTTAATTATGTATTGTGTTTTAATCCATTAGTTTTAATTCAATATTTTTAATTAATTAATTTTAAATAATAATATTATGAAATACATACCATAATTATCGGGTCGATGGTGTAGCGATCTAACGCGCTTATATTCATTTATAGGCAAGTTTATGAGTCCGAGACTGCTGGGCTTCGAATCCCAGACCATGTGGATTTTTAATTAAATTGCATGGTTCGGTTTAGGATTTGATGTGTGCCGTATTAATAGAAATTCAATTTCTATTGATATGACATGCAGATTATAAAATCGCCATACATTATCGTCTCGATGATGGTGGGTGAGGTTTTCTGGGTTTTCCTCACCTGTTAAGTCAAATGGCACCATCAATTATCCTTAAGTCGCCCCGGAGCGCCACGGCAAATAATAATAATAATAGCCGTCCCTTCCCCTACACAAGTCGTTCAGTCGACTTCAGGGGTTGAAATTCACTCGTAAGGGGGTGAATTAGGGAGAGTATTATTATATTATTATTATTATAATTATATTTTTTATATGTTACGGTTTCAAAACTGATATCACGGATAGCCCGCTGGCTTTGTGGTTCTCTAGTTTATTAGTAATTGTATTGTATAACTAAATTGTATAGTAAAATTTTATTGCAAATTATTATTCTTGTTAATAAACAACATTATTATTATTATTTGTAACATTGAGAAAGTTTTGTTCGAAGGCCTCTAACGTTCTGGTAATAAACAGTCAGCTTGCCCAAATCTAGTTTTTTTGTAATAATAACAGGAGTATTGTTGACATATTTAATTGTTAAGTTTAGCTCACCAGCTTGCTGACGTTTCAATAACTCGCTTCTGACAGTGTCCAGAGTTTTCCTTTGGTTAGGAGTTTGGTCCAGATATATAAAAATCTTTTTATAGCGGCTGATATTGTGTTTGTTTTTGAGAATGGCGTGTACGTCACGAGTTGATTTCAACACAACTTTAAGGGGTCGATGTCCATTTTTATTAGTCTTTCCAAAGCGGAAAACTTTGGTATTGTGATATTAGCACCAGTAGCCTTTGTTATTAGAGTTTTGATTTGATTAAAATCATCAGAGACATTGTCGGCTCAGGTAGGTTAAAGATTAGCAAGTTGATGGCTCTCTTTTGACGTTCATTAAGTTCGGTCCTCTCTAATCATGGGGATGTCGTTCTTTCTATCTTTGAGCTTTTTGACTTCATCTTCCAATGAATTTACTTCTGATCTAAGGCTATCAATTTGTCTCAGTTGTATGGGTACACTTTTAAATGCCTGGCGACAATCCCCGCAAAAATAAACCAGAGGTATTTTTTTTGTAAAATAATAGCATGCATTTCGGAAGCCCCCAGGATGGTGCAACCCTCTGAGGGGTGCATTGAGACATGACAACTGTCGAAAGCAATTAGTTTATCTCCGAGAACATCACAGCAGGTTACACAATTACTAGCCATTTAGAGTGAACAAGATTTGAACAAATCAGTAAAATTTCGCTGTAAGCTACCTATTTGTAATTATTTAACTAAAATTCACATTAGCAACTGTACTGTTTCCAAGATATAAATGTGTTTAGCCAGTAGCGAACGACTGAAGGCGTATCCGTTCATTACATACCGGGCGTGGAAAAATTTCATGTCATTTTACGTTTGGTGTAAATAAACTTTACAAGTGGCGTACAACACGGATAAGTAACACTTTCATCCCCTCTAAATTTTACGCCACTGTCCTAAAACTTATTTGGACTATACGTTTACATTTTATGGTACATTTTAAATAAATCATGTATTCTTGTTGGGCAGTCATAAAAGGATTGGTTTTCGAGATATTCACACTCAAAGGTGGATATTCATTTTAATTTATTTTCCAATTTTGTAATTTTGGATTTTTTCATAAAATCCCAACAAGAGTACATGATTTACTTAAAAAGACATGAACAAATTTAAAATTTTAGTCCAAATAAGTTTTTGAAGAGTGGCATAACATTTAGAAGGAATGAAGGTGTTACTTGCCCATGCCGTACGCCATTTGCAAAGTTTATTTAACTGATTTTTTTGCTGATTGGTGTATAGTATGACACCAAAAACGTTTGCTTAGTGCAATTTTATAAAAACAATCAATATTACAAAATCAAAAAATACATTAATATGAAGAATGAGTGTAAATATCTCGAAAACCAATCATTTTATGAGTTCTCAACAAGAGTACATGATTTATTTAAAAAAACATCAGTTGTTCTGGGTCCCATTCTTAATATATACCTGATGCCTTAGTTTGAAAACCTTGTCACAACCTTTTTTTAGGACACAATAAAAACATACTTTTAAAACTGAAATAATTTGAAAATTCCAAAAGTCTATTTGGTGAATAATTTGATTTGTAATGTTAAGCTAATCAGTACTTACTCAACATTTTTAAGTTGTTTATTAGATATTTGAATTAGATGGTCTTCATAATTAACGGACTTAGAAGGTTTAGAAGATTTGCGAACTGCGGCATCGATATGTATAATATTAATAAAAACAGAAAATTACTTGGTAGTCCTCCTTTGTCGATCGACACCTTCTTAGACAAATGCCTTAGTTTTTCCTTCATTTCTCCCTTCTCGTTCTCCAACGAGTCAATATCAGTTTGCAGGTGATCCAAAGTCTCTTCAAATTCCTTCTCTTTCTTCTTGTAATTATTGTGCGCCTCTTCCAATTTCCTCTGCAACTTTTCGATGGTCAATTCGTAATCTTTGTTCACGTTTCCTAATTTCTTTTCGGCCAGCTCTTTGCGAATGGTCATCTCGGACAGTTGTTCCTGCTTTTCTTTTAGCAATTTTCTCAGCTCTTTAATGTCGGACTCCTTGTTCTCCAATTTGCTGGTTAGCGTTTTCGTTTGCTCCAGCTCTTTTTTGACGGCGTCCGCTCTTACTCGGACTGGAGGTGTTGTCTAAAAAAATTATAATAATTTAATGATCTGTATCAAATTTATGTCAAAATAATTTTGATCTTACCTTGTCTTCATTTTTGTTTGCAGTTGTGATTTCGTATTCGTTGTCGTGCAGGAATTGGGCCAATTGAGTGATCTGAGTCTGGATGAAATTCATCGAATTTTTCAAACTCTGTACCGGGCCGAGATCATCTTGTTCGTAGAATTTTTCACTAGCATTTATAGCTATGTCTTTTATCTGTTCAGGTACTACGCCCTTATCAGATTCTGAAAAAATGACGATTTGATTAAAGAAGACATAAAAAGGGGCGACTAAAAGCAATGGTTTCTGGTATTTCTTACCTCCACTGTTTACTATTATTTGTACCATAGATTTGACGATATCATGCAACGTTTTAGAAATCTTCAGTGCGTGCTGGTAACACTGATACAAATTCTCGTGCACTTCCTTGTTAAGTCCCAAATTCGAGATGTTCGTATCTAACGGTAAACGTCGCTTAATCAACTTTAATTGCTGTTGCAACAGATCAGTAGTGGTTATAATGTACTGAATCAGTAGTTCCATATCGCCCGTGGCATTCTGCTAAAAAATAAAACAATAACAACACTGAAAAAACATTTAATTTCGGATTTTTGGATCTTGTAAGGTAGCAGTACATTTGACTTACCTCCATCAAGCATCTAACGACAGTAGCGTCGACCACGAAACTATCAGCCACGGCTGTCAAACATCTCACGTTATCGGTAAGCAGCAGCATGTGATTGAGCTTGACATCGGGACCGAACAAAACGGGAAACAGCGTGTTAAAATAATTCACGCACTTTTCTAGAGCTTCAGTGGAAATGTTTTCGTCCAATTGGTCTTTTTTAAGCAGCTCGATTACGTCGTCGATCACCTTTTCTTGACCGGCCATTTCGGGGTAAGTGGCACCAACTTTTAAGAGCACGTCTGGCTTGCAGGTGTTCAAGACGTGGTAGTATTGGTGAAGGATAATCTGAAATGAAGTTTTTTTATAATGCCATTGGAAAGAAAGATATAAGAAATAGTTGAAATCGTACCTGGAAGGCGTAAACGTAGAAACTAATTCTGCATTTAAACGTAAATTGATTGATCGAATGCCCTTTCAGAACAGCGTTCTTATCGATTTTTTCGATTTTTCCGAATTTATCTTTAACTTGACCTAGAATAATCTCCAGTTTTTGAATCATTCTCGGTATTAAGAGAATCAGAAGAACGGCATCGTGATCACCTAACAAATAAAACAAAATAGTAAAAATTATATATTATCATTATTGAAATGCATGTATGTATTAATATTTAGGTTTTCCTAGATTGTACAAAAAAATGACTTTACACCAGGCAATCTCAACTGATGTTGAAACGAGACAAAAGAACTACTCGAAATCTCAGACAACCATGATTATGGATCAATATTGAGATTGCTCAATAGTGATGGGACCTTCCATTAACAGTATTTTTTGGACCAGTCCGGAAAAGTAGGTAGTGAAAAGTCGCAATGAAAAGTAGTTGATCTTAGGTATAGATATAGATGTTTCTCCATCCTAAATGTTTTTTTAAACACTTTGGGAACAATATTGGCATTTATATTTTCGTTTCTTTAGGCAAATCAGTTGTAAAATACTTCCAACCTTTGGATTTTTTGGCCATTTTAATAAGATTTGAAAAGAAAATTCGAAAACACTATTAAAACACAAAAATAGGTAATTATTCGTCTTTTTTTTAAACTATATTTTGCTTTTGTTAGTTAATTTAATTTCACGCATGCGCAATATACTTTTCCATTAGTCAACTTTTCATTGTTTTTAGGAAAATGTCTTTATAAAAAATGACAATGCATAATAAATCTAAATCACATAAAAAAGCTGCAAACTATCTACAGATGCATATCCAACACAGTAAAAAATACATATTAAATGGACTTAAACAATCCTGATACAGTCCCTGCATACAGTAGTTTGTATTAGTACAGATTAGATAGGCTTTGTAACCTACCTCACCCAGGTACCTTAATAATTTATTAATCTCATTTATTAAATATAATATTGCATTCTTATTAAATTCAAAATCCTTCATTTAACGAAAAATCTTCCACATACTTAAATTTTATTTAAGACACCTAATAAATAATATCTATAACCATGTCCGTAAGAGATCCAATTTTCGTGGACGTGTATAGGAACCTAGCTCAAGAAACACTTGACGCACTTATCTTAAGTGCGTTTAAATAGTAACGTTGTTTTCGATACACAAAATTTTCAAGGCAAGTAAAAAATCAGCCACCTCCTTTTCACCCAGATTCAGTTTTTCGCTGGGAATTAAGACACACAGAGACGTCACAAAAATCCATTAAAACTGCTATAAGAACCCAGACCAAAATGAGCTCGCATTCATTCATTTTTATTATTTGATTTGTAAGCATTCATTTTTATTATTTGACGTGTAAGCATTCATTTTATTATTTTACATTCAAGCAATCACTTTATAATTTGTATCCAGTTATATAGTCTGCACCTTTCATAAAACGCTCTTCCTAAACCACGTCTATCCTACAATACCTCCTATCCCCGAAGGTGTCAACGTCTCGACGCCTAACGTCCTGCCACCGTATTTCCCTACCTATCTACGTCTCGAACGCTATCACATTCCGCACCATCTAAGTATTTCCTACCTTACATTCATTCCAACGCCCAACGTCCCATCGCTCTACTTCTCAACGCTTGCCGCCCCTAAATTTTTCTTCATAATATCCTTGTCGACACCCTTCGTCACGTCCTGCACCACCTAAATATTTCTACCCTAAATCTGTCTCAATGCAGTAACGTATATCTGTCACAATGCAGTACCGTATTAAATACCTTTCTCTTCACCACGACGCTAGGTGCCTCGACGCAAGGCGACGCTCAACGCGACGTACCTAAATCGACGCCGTCTCAACGTTAGATGAAATTAGTACATAATCTAATGTCTGTATTTTCAATAGTGAGTCAAAAGATTTATGTAACTTTGTTTGAGATACCACCAGGGTCGTTTAGACGAGGGCCTGACGTTTTCTTCAAATATTATCAATGTAACCAATAAACCATATGGCCTTCAGTCGTTCACCCCGAAAGACGATTAGGTTAGTCATCTGTATTCGGGTGAATTTAAGATATTTCAATAGAAATGATAAAAATCAATATTAAGAAATATACAGGGTTGTATTAAGTTATTTCAATAGAAATTATAATAATCCATATTAAAAAATATACAGGGTTGTATTAAGTCATTTCAGTAGAAATTGTGCTATCTTGGATAAATTGTACAAACCGAGATGATAAAATTTAACAGTAAGTTAACCAACTGTTGAATATACTGTTCGTTAGCTCAAGGGGAGCACCTATATGCTAAGCCACCCAGTCTATATTCGTCGAAATATTTACCTAAGAGGGTGCAACCTGTGTATATCTAGAATAGAATCAAATCAACATCAACACAGTAGTTAACCAACTGGCGAATTGACGCTGTTCGTTAACTCCCTCGGTCATCAACCTAAATAAAATATATCTTGATAGCAAATGAAGTGGTCTGCGTTTGAACGGGACTCAAGTGGGATCTCAGTAAATAGTACCAATTGTAATATATTTTGCTAATTATTGCATCACATTTAAAGTATAAAAAATAAAAGAGTTTGAATATAAATTTGGCTAGTTTTATTTATCAATTTGCACCAAACTTTGCATCGAATCCTGGTTTACCTGTTAATTAAACATTATCACAACGTTAGTATATAAATTAATTAATTAACTAGACGATAACTTCTACTACTAGAGGAAAAAGGCCAAATACAGTAAGTATAGAACTTAAAATAAAATAAACTTGTGAGGTAAATAATAACATTTTAGAGGGTAAAACAACAAAAAAAAATGGGGGTACCTGGGGTGGGCGTTACAGTTTCGTTTTGTGTACATTCGTTCACTGTTGTTTTGTGGTTGGTGGCTAAATTTTCATGTTTTCTGTTAATTTAAAGAACTGTTTTCTACAATGTAATTTACTAAAATTGAACTGACGAATATGGTTTTAATGTATAGGACTGCTGAAGAAGCACAGATTTTTTTAAAACTGTCTTATGGTTGTACCAAATAAACCGATACATACAATTGAACAGTAAACCGAGTAAATAAACAATGTGGAAGCGAAAATAGACTTAATTTCTAGTATAAGGGAAAGTCGAGCAGTAGCATGTCTTAATTATAATTACAATACATAAAAAACACACTTACTTCCTCTGGTCATAAACGAATCCGGCATATAGGAACTCAAGAATTTAATATGTTGCTGCAATTGGTTAATATCGATCCTTCTCAATTCCAAATCGATAGCCTTGATGTGTGCTTTAGTTTCAGAAAACATTTTCTTAAAGTCTATAATTTCCGGTAAAGCTGACACCGGCTTACTGGTCTCAGTCTCCAATCTATGCTGCAAATCCAAAGATTGCTCCTGAAGTTGATGCACCAATTGTCTGAATTTCCCTATCGTTTGCTCTCTATCCGCTATAGTTTCCATGGCGGCATCTCTATCGCGCAAAGCCTGTCAATTGAACACGAATTACATCTTACATCATCCAAATTATAATACTATACCTCTCTTGTAGCCGCTTGTGCCATGTCCAATTCCTCTCTCAAATCAGCTTCCAATTCGGCGTTGCTCTCTACCAACTGGTCGTTCATGTCCTGCAGCGCCTCTAATTCGGAAACCTCTTCTTGAAGTTGCGCGACCTTCTCTTCCAGAGTTAACTTTTGATCACTAAGAATAACCACCATTTCTTCCGCGCCTAAAGCTGCGTCAACCTTACGACAGATATCAATACATAGTCAACGAAGAGGTCCTGTGAACATTAGAATTATATAGTACCTGTTCTTGGAGATCGCCAATCTGCTGTTCCATTTCTTCCACACGAGTGCTGAGTTTCTCTTTGGTTTTGCCCAATTCGGTTATTTCGGATTTCTTTTGGTCGATATCTTTCAGCAACTTTTGATATTCGTGCTTCTCGTGCGCCGACAGATCCCTCAATCTTACCAAAGTTTCTCTCAGACGCGCGTTTTGTTGTTGGAGTTGCTTAATTTCATATGCAGACATTTGGTCTCCACTAGCAACAATGTTGGCGCCTAAAAGATTACTATTAGATTTATTTCTATTTTACTTTTTAAACAATGTGTTTGCTTGTTGACGGTACGCTATTAGTTTAGTACCTCAATAGCCTAACAGTATACAAACGATAATAATATCAGGAGAATATCTTTAGATATTCTGGAATGTTGAACGAAGTTTCAAAGTTTTAAAACTATGATATTTTTTACCTTTTTCCTGCATTTCAGCTTTGAGTATCTCCAAATCCAACGTGACTTCTTCCAGTTTTTCTTTGCACACTTCCAATTCCAATTGCAACGTTTCGGCCTTCTCCTCGGCCATTTCTCTGTCCAGCGTTGCCATTTCTACGGCCTCGGCGAGATCGGCTACCTCTTCCTCGTGCAGTTCCTTGGCTTCGACAGCTTCCTTGGCGTCCTGTTTGGCCTTTTGCAGTTCCCGCTGCAAGCTAGCTTGGGTGCTCATTATTTTCGATTTAAACTCAATCAGCTGTTCCAGCTAAAATCGAAATAACCATTTCCTCATAATAGTTTTTTAATTTTGGTAGCATCTCTTTATTTCATAACCTTCTATCTCTTAGTAACACATTGATAATATTGTAATTGTTATTTATTTGATTGTACAAAATGAAATTGTCGGTAGGCGGGTTAATCTCTAGGTTTCGGCGTAAATCAGTACCTACATCTAACAAAAAATAAGTAAGGCTGAGAGAAATCCCCTACTCAAGTCTCAAAACAAATCTACTCCAAATTAGAGATCTTCGATACATAGAAAAGTACCGATACTACGTATCGATTCAGATCTATGTTTAATGTATCGATACACTCTAATATCGTATAGCAGAGGTAGAAGTTGAAAAGGCCTTTGCCAGTTCTCCCACTTTATACACATAAATTGACAGGTATGCAGCGGATCTAATCGAAATGAACGCGATACATTGGCGTACAAAATTATTTTATAGATGTTAACAACAATTTCGAGTAAATAGTTTAATAAATTGTGAATAGCTGTTGAAATTTTGTAAAATTATGATTTGAATATTATAATACATGTTAAATAATTATTTATAGTCCATAAATACATGCGATTGTCCGATTCCGCGGTAACAATTTAAAATTACTTATTCTATGAAACGAGACTGGCAGGTAAACATTACTACGAAATTCTCGAAGCCATCCGATGCGGTTTGACGTTTACCCCCTCTCTACCTACCAAAAGCCTTTCCAACTTCTACTTCTGCTATAAGCAACAGTATTGATACATCAAAAATTGAACTACTGAAGCCAACTAAGCTTGTGTGAGGAAGGAACGGTTATACGTTATTAATTGCCGTGGCGCTCTGAGGCGACTTAAATATGATTAATGGTGCTAATTTCTTTTTAAAATCAGTTGGCAACATTGTCGTGATGTTCGCCGTTTATAGATAAATTTGTATCAATTATCAATTCGAATTTTTTCCTATTTGTGAACATTAAATTTGTTTATTTCTTATTGTGTGTGATAGTGGGTATATTAAAAACGAAATTTGCGAAAAAGCCCTCATCAAATTGAAATTTATATTGATAACGGTTGAATTTAAAAATCAAAACATAAGTTTTCATTATTTTCCAAGCGAAAGTCCTAAAATTTTGTTTTTAGCGATAAATGGATATCTATATTTTATATCTAGAATCAAACTACATTCTTCACTGTGACAGTTTTATTTCGGTTTGCATGGATACAAAGTGCCACAAAGTTCACTTCAGAATATAAGAATAAGAATATTTAGATTTTTAATTAAGTTTATCAATATAAACATTAAGTACCAGAAATTTCTTTTAAACCAAATAATAAAAGATGTTTGTATAGAATCCAGATAAGTGAAGATTTCCAACAAATTAGTCTTAGAACGATGATAAATATTATATTTATGACGAAAGCACGCAAAATAAACTTAAATTAACACTAAATGAAACATATAAACAAATATCCTACTTATATGTGAAAAATGACAGGCGCGCGAAAATAAATTTGAATAGAAAATTGAGTTATGCTTTCTCATTGGCTCAATCTGTGTTCTGACAAGTTCTGATTTGTTGATTGTTTCATTCAGTTCGTTTAACATATGTCGATCAAACCCACGTGGATTATATCGTTGGAATTTGGTTATATATCTTTGGTTGGAGTAGGAACAGGTGGTATCCAGAGTTGTAGTCAGAATGTACCATATACAGTTAAGTCAATTTTAGTTAATTTAACACAGGCATTATTTATTTATTTTCTAAAAACGATCTACATAACTTTATCAGTCTTTTGTTGTTTAGAAACATTGTTATACCTAATAAGATCTATACCTAATAATAATAGAGCCATAGAAAAATAACCTGAACCTTAAAGCAGATAACATATTTATAAATAACTCGACAGAGAAGATCCAAATTGCAAAATTTTATAATAAAACCTTCCCTTAGTTATTGCTACAATACCCTGTTAAAATATTGGAACATCATTGTGAAACATCCTGTATAGGTACCTTTTACTGCAATTATTAAAAATGCATACTTGATTTTCGTACAAGTATACGGAAACCGCTATTTTTCCATCTTCTGGTGCAACCAATATTAATTTAATCCTCTTTCAAAAAAATATTTTATTTTTAATAAAACGAATTTATCACGTCTATTCCAGTTTTTTTAGCAAATCTTTAATAAAAGGCCCATGAATTATAGCAGGGACAGAAGTATTATAATATCCCAAATTATAATTCTACAAAATTTCAACAGCTATTTACAATTTATGAAACTATTTAACCGAAATTGTTATTAACAACTATAAAATAATTTTGTACGCCAATGGAGGGAGAGATGATCCCCATGGCCCTCTCCGATCGACAGACGGCAAAATAAAAATAAAATAAATAAATAATTATTCGGTTTACAAAAGTCTGCAGCAACAAAAACTACGTTTAGATTCCAATTCTCAAAAAAAAAAAAAAAAAAAAATAATTATACAGGGTGCGTAATTGTTCAATATTTCAATTTGTGTTATAGACACGCAAACAAGTTTCAAATAAAAGTAATATGAATTAACAAAATACGTATTTTAAAAATATTTTTGGATGCGTTTTGCCTTGCAAATAAAAATGTGTATTTTTTAAATTGAACATCCTGTATTTCATTTTAGTTTTAGAATGATTTGGTAATACTGCATTCAACCCTAGAATTTTTCTTTAAAATATTAGAGCCTTGCCAAGCAATTAATTTTTTTTATGAAATTAGAGAACGATGCAGACCCCAAAATAAATTATCATAATTTAGGTAGGTTTACTCTGATTTCAAAATTGTTTAATATACAGACTTATAAGATACTAAGCTAACGAAGAGTGGTAGAAGTGGTTTATTTTATACAGAATGTTATGAAACATATATAAATATGGTTAATTTTTAGTTCAATTTATTCATTTTTTTCAAATGGCAACTCCCTGTATATTATTTTAGCATAAAATTCCTTATGAATTTGCCCATTCAACGATACCAACATGTTAACCAATAACACATAACACGTACTACCATCAGTGCGTAATGCGCTAGTTCAGTGATGATGTAATTATGGCTCCACTGACAATTAAAGTGACAGTAGATTTTTTGAGTGCGTTTTGTTTACCTAAATTATATCGTTTTTTTTTTCACTTTTATAAATATATCCCTAAAGTAAGTAGATAGCATGTATCAAATATACAATCGTTTAGTTACCAATTACATACCTTTAAACTATTTTTATGACCTGTAAACAATATTTTGAAATAAAATAAAAACAGTAAAAACGTATATGTCAAATTTATTGATGTTTTTTGTTAAAAGTTTGGTTAGAATTAAATGTCAGTGGAACCAAAATGACATCACACTGAACTAGCGCATTGATCTATAGCTGTTTTATTATTGGAAATACGAAAAAAAAAAATATTATAAAAGTTGTATGACCATATCATTATCTAACAATTATTCTCAAATATACAGGGTGGTCCATAAATGAGGGGCTGACAAAACCTATACATTTTTAAAGCAAAACACCCTGCAGGTAGCATTTTATTGTTTTCACATTGTTAAACAATTTTAATAGACTTCAATTATTTGCTATGTTTTATATAGGGTGTGTCAAAATGTGAGGTTACAAATTTTGTAAATTTTTTAAATGAAATAAAGTGGAACGCCTACTAAAATTATTTTATTTACGTGGATACGTAAGTAACAAATGAAAATCGTAACCAAGCAGTTTTTTTAAGTCAAAATGGAGTACTTACTAGTAAATTTAAAAAAGATAGCTTACTGATTTACCAAGTAAAAATAAATATAAAATAACACGGTTTTGTAAAATTTATAATTAAGTATTTCTTAATTTTTCCTGTTTAGTGTAATAATAAAAAAATATTTTATTGCATTGTTCATAACATTGTTCGAAAGAATTAAATTTATTATTAATATTTTGAATTATTTTCAATTATAAATTACCAAAGCTGCAATGTAGTTTGAGACGCTCCTCGGCCGCGCGGTGTTCTGACAGCGCCTGGCGCGCTATGATAAATACATTCACATTACTTAAACTAGTAGCGAGCAGTGATATTTTCTTTCGGAATATTAAACTTAAATAAATAATGCATGTATATAATAAAAAAAACTTCATTTTTTACCGAGATATCAATGAAATTTTTATTTGTTTGTTTAAAAGTTAATTAACAAATAATTGTAAGTTATTAATATTTTATCAAAATATAGATATTTGACAATAAATCCTAACAATTTCATTAATTTATCTTTAACGGTTGATTTAAAATCCATTTTTACTTTCCTACCTGTATACAGATATAAGGACAGTATAGGGATCATGATTTTTTTCGACTTCGAGTTTTCGACGGATTTTTACGTTTTGAGGTCCCCTGAATCCGTTTTGACTATTTTCTCGATGATGTGTGTGTGTGTGCGTGTGTGTGTGTATGTGTGTGTATGTGTGTGTGTGTATGTGTGTGTGTATGTGTGTGTGCGTGTGTGTGCGTGTGTGTGCGTGTGTGCGTGCGCGTGTGTGTGTGTGTGTGTGTGTGTGTGTGTGTGTGTGTGTGTGTGTGTGTGTGTGTGTGTGTGTGTGTGTGTGTGTGTGTGTGTGTGTGTGTGTGTGTGTGTGTGTGTGTGTGTGTGTGTGTGTGTGTGTGTGTGTGTGTGTGTGTGTGTGTGTGTGTGTGTGTGTGTGTGTGTGTGTGTGTGTGTGTGTGTGTGTGTGTGTGTGTGTGTGTGTGTGTGTGTGTGTGTGTGTGTGTGTGTGTGTGTGTGTGTGTGTGTGTGTGTGTGTGTGTGTGTGTGTGTGTGTGTGTGTGTGTGTGTCTCTTTAGGTCGCATAACTCATGAACCGATACACAGAAAAACACCAAATTTTAAACTTAAGCTTTATTCCAGCGTCTAATGAACTGATTAGATTTTGGGCAGAGTCGGAGCATCTGGGGGGGTACTTTATGGGTGGTCATTTTTATA